TTTTTCTCTTTCTTTCTCATTTGTATTTTTGTTTTATGAGTAGGTTTTGCTCCTTCTTGTGTATTTGGGTAGTGATTATTGTTTTTCAGATTCCAGATACAGGAGCCTCTTGAGAATTTCTGATAGAGCTAATCATGTGGTGGTGAACTCCTGCAGTTTCTATTCATTTGGGAAATACACTGTTTCTCCCTTATTTTGAAGGATAGCTTTGCTGGTTATAGTACTCTTTGCTGGCAGTTTTTTCTTTTAGAATTTTGAACATGTCATTCCATTTTCTTCTCACCTGTAGAGTTTCTGTTGAGAAGTATGGTTAGTCTGACAGGGACTCCCTTACTAGTGACTTGACACTTTCCTCTTGCTGCTTTTAGGATTCTCTTTTTGTCTTTGAGCTTTGCCATTTTGACTATAATGTGTCCCAGAGAGGATTTTTTTTTTTTTTACTTGTTTGGGAATCTTTGAGCCTCCTGAATATGAAGGTGCATGTCTCTCCCTATACCTGGGAAGTTCTCCACTATTTTTTTTTTTGTTGAATCAATGCCTTTTCCTTTCTCCTTCCCTTTGGGAACACTCATTATTCAGATGTTTGTGGGCTTAAGGCTGTCTGCTATCTCTCTTAGATGTGTCTTTCCTGACACCTGGGATGTTTTCTGTTATCATTTCTTTGAAAATATTTTCAATAGCTTTGCTTTTCTTCTTCCCATTCAGATGATCGTAAGTTAAAGTTGTCTGCTAGCTCTCTCAAACTTTCTTAATATTTTAAAATTCTTTTCCCTTTTTTTGGTTATTTTGTAAAGACTGACTTTGCAATCAGAAATTCTTTCTTCTGCTTACTCTAATCTGCTGCTTATGCTCTCAGTTGTATTTTTTATTTTGTTGATTGAATCCTTCAGTTCCAGGAGTTCTGCTATATTATTATTGATCTCTTTGTAAATTTCCTCCTTCATATCCTGGATATTTTTTCTCATTTCATATTTTTGTCTAACTGAGTATTCTCTTACTTCATTGAGTTTCCTTAAGATTGTTACTCAGAATTCCTTTTCAGTCATTTCAAGAGTTTCCTGTTCTGTAAGGTCTGGTATTTGAAAATTACTATATTACTTTGGCAGTGTCACATTTTCTTGATTTTTCATATTTCTGGTATCTCTACCTTGATTTCTGTTCATCTCATAGATAAGCTTGCTTCTTCTATTACTCTGGAGTAGATTTTTGAAGAGGAAGACTTTGTCCTCTTTTTCCAGGCTCCTCTAATGACTCTCATTGTGTCAATGCAGTCAAATATGTAGAGAGCCACCTGCACAGTGGTTGTGGCTGCTGCTGTGGCAGTAAGCCATCCTTGCAATGGTAGAAGCTGTGGTGGTAGCTTTTGTGGACCACCTCTTTGGAAGCTGTGGGGGGCCTCCCTGTCACAGCAGCGATCACTCTTGCTTTCTGTGAAGGTCAGGGGAGATTGCCCAGTACTTTTCCCACCTGGGTATCCCCAGTTGTGGTGGGCAAGCTGGGTCCTGTCTTCTGTACAGGCAGTGGGAGGGCTGCCCAGGGCTTCTCCCTGCTTGGACCTCCCCAGTCGTGGTGGGTGCCACTGTGCCCAAAATGTTGAGTTAGCAAAATGTTCTTGAATCTTTGATACTTTCATTAATCCTTAAGAGTTTACTAGTGTGGCACTCCATGTATGTTAATTTGTCAGTAAATACACTGATTGTTTGAGAAACAGTCAATAGGCAATAGCATGGTTTGCTGTCTTAGAAATATATTATTTCCATATTTAATCTTAAATGCCAAATGCCAAAGCCAAATGTAAGTACTCAAGTTTGACTCTCAAGCCTTTGGAGCTTTGACCTAGGACTGTATATCAATTTACGGGTTAGCAACTATATCCTAGATACATGGCAGCAGTTTTGAACACAATCCAGGAACATTGAGTGAAGATTCTTTCAGAGTGTCTTGAACAAAAGTACACAAGTACAGGAGGGGTCTTCAAAAAGCTTACAGAAGCATTTGTATTATCTTTTAATTCTTTTTTTCCCATGAACTTTTTGAAGTAATCTTCTGTATGAAAAGAGCTCATTAGAGAGCAGTTTCTCAGAAACAAAAAACAACAATTGAAGGGACACAGCCTAGCTAAAAAAAAAAAAAGAAAAGAAAAGAAAGAAATAAAAAAGAAAAAGAAAAAAGAAACTCTAAAAAGCATTACGACTTTACTCATAAAAGTCATTTGTTTGTTAATGTGAGTTCTAATGAAGACAAAATCCTGTTTCAAGTACATGTTTGGAGCTTGTATTGAAGTTCTCCAAGGGAAGAGTTTAACCACAGCAGGAGATTACATCTTGCATTCCAATTTGCATTCATTAAAATGGCAGTAGGGTGGGATGTTTCATCTAGATCTTTCCATGATTTTATGTTTCTATAAACATAATGTGGACTTTTCTGGTAAAAGGAAAATGAAAGAGAATAGGTGACTCTCAGCCAATCTATGTGACTTCTGGATGAAGATCTGTGAAATGATGAGGACTGGATTTCCCAGAACTGACCCCACCACCACCCCCCCTCCATATCCAGATTGAGCAGTGGTTGTCATAGAGAAGATTCTTGTTTGTTAAACAGATGAAACAAATAGTTACAAAAACCTAGACAATGTAAACTGTATATGAATAAATAAATTATTTCCTTTCAAATGTCAAATGCCCCATTTCTCTTTCACTTCCTTTCTGAGCTCTCTCTAATTATATAGACTCATATAGTTTTCACTGAAGATTTTACTTAACCATTTGGACTTTCTATTATGTGCAAAACATTATGAGAACATACAGAGAGAAGTTAGTTGATCCATATGGATAAGAAGAAAGAGAGGTGGTGGTGATGGTGGTGGTGATCCTAGGTAAGATGATAACAGAATGAAGTTCTAGAAGCCAAAGTATTTTTCAACACAATACATGCTATAGATTCTAGTTCAGTGGATTTGCATCATATCCTACAAGACAAGGCTGTAAAAATTATATAAATTGGGAATCCTAAATTGAAAATTTGATTATAAAAATGAAATCACTTCATTCTTACATTTCCTCTCTATTTAACTGAGACAATTACAGGACTATACTAAAATTTCATTCTTCCTTAGTGTGTTCAAGCCAGTTCCCCCAGGACATCTCTGTAACTAACTATATTACTTTTCTAATTCAATTACACTATATCAGTCCCCTCCCTGCCATTACTCTAGGTCAGCCCACAGTCATCTCTTACCTGGGCAACAACAGTTCTTAAACGTCTTCCCTGACCACAAATTTGCCACCTCCATCCATTAGGACCATTGTACAAGCATGATTTTTCTCAAATGCTGATCCGAAGAGGTTGCTTCCCTGATCAAGATATTTTAGTGGTTTGCAAGCACCTTAAAGTCTACATTCTCTAATGTGGCTTATGTGTTTTATAAATTGCACCCATAACCACTTTAATCTGCCAGTATTTCAGCATGAAATAGAGTCTATTGATTTGATATCATAGAGAAGCACAAATATCATCTTTAATTCCAACGAGAAACCTTTCCTGGTTCACTCTTATAATTGCCCCCACTTCCTTTTAAGCCACATCCTCATACAACATAGATTTTTATCTCAGCACATTTAACACTTTACTGCACCCAAAATGCTTGTTTATATGTCTGTCTCCTACAAGAATAAACTTTCCTTTTTGCCAAAGATCTCAAATTATTATTTGTTTTTAATTTTAGCACACAGAAAGCATACTAAATGCTTATGAAAAGAATGACTGAGTGAATCAGTGTGGAATGAATGAATGACAGAGGCAGAAACTTTAGTTTCTTTAGTAACCCAGGATACACTCACAAAAGTATAATCCATAAAATTTTTGAACTAGTACAATTATCAGTATGAAACAGTATAACAATATTACTTTTAAAACACAGATTAAACATATCTTTATTATTTAAAAGCTGTGCTGGGCTCATCCTTTACTTTCATGACCCTCATTTCTGCATCCATAGGATTAGACAGTCAAAGTAGGCAGCATGCCATGAGCTTTGTAAATAGGGACCACATGACTCCTACATGCTTTCCTACATGTAGAACCTACAAAAAAGTTTTAATTCTAAGTTGTTGTTAGACTCTGATATGTTAATAGAATTTCTCATCTCACAGTCACTTACTCAAACATTGCAGCTTAAAAGAAATATTTTTGACAGTTATCTATATAACCATACAAAAAAAAAGGTTTCAAAGTCAAGAAAACATTTTTGTGGGTGAACACATTTACACTCCAAAATTGTTATAGTCATTGGTACCTCCCTGTAGAATTTGAACACATGTGGATGTTGGGGAAATAGTCAAGTTCCTTAATACCCACGGCTTGATAATTGAGGATTTTACTGTCCTAGTCAGCCATTCGCTACAGAGAGGTTGTGTGGGAGTCAACACACTCAAAAATTAGTACTAGCCATTGGGACTTGGAGGGTACAAAAGAAAAAGAGAAAAATGGCTTAAAAGAGATTTAGCTGTCATAATACCATCCTTGGGGATTCTCTTTGGTCTGAGAGCAACTGTTGTATCTTTCAAGTAAAGCAATAAACTCAGGATATTCTTCCAAGACCTTGCCCGGCTCCATGATGCAGTAGCAGCTCAAAATAAGGCAATGGCATCCCAATGCTTTGAAAAAGGCAACTTTCTACTTTGTGAGAGTCCAGCTCTAGTTTGGGAATATTACCTAAGAACTAGGAGATATTTACTCATTAACATCAAAAGAGAGAATCAAGACTCGGAAAGTTTCTTTTGATTTCCATGTTCATTTTTTTCTGATTAGTTATTTTCCCTTAAAAATACCTAGGAGATATTTACTCATTAACATCAAAAGAGAGAATCAAGACTTGGAAAGTTTCTTTTGATTTCCATGTTCATTTTTTTCTGATTAGTTATTTTCCCTTAAAAATATCACGACTTTATCCAAAGAGGATCATAAAATCAGTATGCACTCAAGTAAAGAAAGAAACAAACCTCTCAGAATGCCCTTTGCAACAATCGGCAGTGAAGTCAGTCTTCTCAGCCATTTAATATCTTCCCAGCTGATAGATGGGTCTATTGCTCTTGCCACATATGTAGCAAGTCCACTGTTGTTTCCAAAATTTTCCTTAGGAGAGAATGCTAAAGCACTGGTTTCAAAATTTTTCATCCTGAAATAAAGAGATACATAAAGTGAGAAACTTCCCAAAGTTAGAGATCTTTACAAAATCCATTCAATGAAAAAAGAAGTCACCCTTTTTCAATCAATTGGCTGTTTACTCCTCAACCATCTATAGGTTGGTTGCAAGCATATTTTCCACACTTTGACGAAGAACACTAGACTGGATCTGACAATCTAGTGTTCTTAATTGGTCAGCTAAAGTTTATTTTACAATATAGGCTGCGTTTACACAAACAAATCGGTTTAAGGAGAAATATGTAGCCATATTCAAACATCTTCTTTATAATCATTTTATGGATATGGACAATAGACTTGGTGCTATTTTCAGCCAGCAATACAAATGAATCATAATGAAAACCATTTGCATGATGCTTTGAATTTACAAAGGCTTTTTATATATACCAGCATCATAACAATTTTTTCTTTAAAAACTTTTAGAAAGTAAAATTGATACTCCAATTCCCATTTTACATAGAACAAAGCAAAAGTGCACACATTTGCATGATGCTTTGAATTTACAAAGGCTTTTTATATATACCAGCATCATAACAATTTTTTCTTTAAAAGCTTTTAGAAAGTAAAATTGATACTCCAATTCCCATTTTACATAGAACAAAGCAAAAGTGCACAACAATATGCCCCAAGTATAAAACTAGTAAATGGCAGCATTTTGGCCCCAACCTGGGTCTCTTGACTTGGCTCATAATTATATTCTCTTTGCTTAGGTCTTGGTTGCATCCTGGCTACTGCACCTAACCTCAAGGAAACAACCAATGCCCTCATAGAAAATTCTAAAGGAAGTTGGAACTGCAGTAACATGTTAACATCTTCCATCTGTTGCCACTGTAGACTATTCTTGGTGTTCTATGATAGCAATGTTGGTGGTAGGCATGGAAGGAAGTGGGCAGTGTTTCCCAGCAGACAAGTTGTCAACTCTCGCCTTTCCCTTCTGCACTTAGTTCTCTCTGAGCCTCTCTGTCTACTGACTCAAATGTTCCTAATCTTCCAGGTAATTTTTTAACAAGGACATGAGCTTTCCAATCGTCAGCACTTTCCTTTCTTTGCCTGTGGCTTTTTCTTGCTCCTTGGGCCTGAGTCACCACCCACACAGCAAACAGAAAGTGTCAGGGATGTGGAAGTATAAATACCCAACTTCCTCACCCCTAGGTAGATTAGGGTAGACTAGCTCTGAGAAGAAATCAACCCACCTCCCAGAATTTTCCAGCAGGATTCAGTTTCTGTCTCCCACCGGTATAGCTGTATTGATCACATGGCCTTTGTTTGCTGATTTCCCTCCCTTGTCCCACTTCTCCACTCTTCTAACAGTATTCCCTTCACCTTCCAGATGATCTACTTGCAGTTCATCCACTGGTTCATGGTCTGCTTCTAGGGGAACCCAAAATGAGACACACCACCACTGAGTTGCTGCCTTTCCCTAGATCTAATTTTGTTGATCCAGTATTTCTCTAACTCACCTCTGAGTCTGCTGATGGCTCACCTTATGCCTGAAGTCTTTTCTCTGGACCTGATATCCTAATATCCTGACTAGATTTGAGCAGTTTCCCAAAGCAGGGGCAAAGTCTTTCCTGCCTGCAACTCTGACCACTAGTTAGATGAATGGACATCTGGATACACAATGGCACCATCCATGTGACTTAACTGCCCATAGCCCCAATTCCACTTGGGAACTTCATTTCCTGAAAGGCTGATTTTAAATGATGAAAATGACCTGGATTCACCTTGCTCTTCTGTGTATTATAAGTTGCCCTGCTAGCCAATCTCCCTTTGGGGTAAAAGTACAGTTGTATATTGATCTTTAGCTTAGTCCAAGTTCTTTCTTCCCCTCCACCAGCTCTGCCACTGAACACAGAAAAGATCTTGGAGCCATAACTATAAAAATTTTTATATAAACCTAGAAGTATCTAAGCACACTATTTTTAAGTTACAGGAATGCACCACATAACGATGTTTCAGTATACAGCAGACCACCTAGATGATGGTGGTCCCGTAAGATTACAATACCACATTTTTAGTGTACATTTTCTATGTTTACACATGTTTAGATATACAAATACCATTATGTTACAATGGCTTACAGTATTCAGTACACTAACATGCTGTACAGGTTTGTAGCCTAGGAAAAATAGGCTTTATCACGTAGCCTAGATTTGTAGTCACCCCTAGGTAGACTAACCATCTAGGTTTGTATAAGTACATTCCATGTTCCATGAGGTTGGCACAATGATGAAATCGCCTAAGGACACATTTTTCAGAATAATCCTTGTTGTTAAGAGACACACGACTGTATTTTTTAAAACAATCATGACTTCTTTTAATATGAAACTCTGTTTGATACTTTCTACATTTTAGTGTGTTTCAGCTAAGATAACTGGTTGTGTAGCTTGGGTGGCATATGTATAATACGGACATAAACATTCATATTCCATATAATGCGAATCAAGCCATTGGCAAAGTTTTCTCAATGAGGATTGAATAGCTCGTACTATAGTTTCACAGACTCCCGATGGCCACTAAAGATCCTAGAAAATTCCAACTCCATGAGAGTCATATGAATACTCATCTAATTATCAGGCTTTGGTAGAGATTTTAGCTGAAATTCCTGGGAAATCAAACCACTTAGGGTTGTACATTTTATTTTTGATTCTTCGTCTTCTGTGGTCACCCTAACTTGAATTGAATTAAGCTAACTTTCTGGTCAATAAACATATCCTTATTATGGAGACTGATTGCATTACTTACAAGTGATATTCAATTCCAAGCTTTTATGTAATATTATTAATAAGAAAAAGTCCAGTCTGTCTATCCCATACCAAGACCAGGAGAAAAATATCTGTATGTGTATATACTCAGGATGGCTAACCCACCCCCATCCCAAACAAGCTACAGTGTTTCTGCAGGGGTGGGGTGAAAGGGTGAAATGGATAGGAAAAAACAGAAACATGGATAAAATTATATAAATAACTGTTGTTATTCTTGGACGGTGAAACGCAGATCAACACTTGAATGAATGTTGCCTTACAGAAATTTCAGTGCACAATGAAGCCTTGTTGTTACTCTAAAACTTTGTTCAAAGCCAGAAGCCAAGAAAAAGTTTTCAGATATCTTGACAGAGACCCACGATGGAGTGTTTTACCAGTGGCTCCAAAAGAAACCTCCATGAATGCTATTTTTATTCAGATTATGACATATATATACATAAAACACTTAAAGCAGCTTCTGATAACCAAAGTATTCCATTTTGTAAGGAAGGAAAGGGACAACATCAAAATAATAACATGGTTCCTTAGGGCTTAATTCTCTGAATCATGATCTGTTTAATGACGCCAAGGTAAGGGACAGGATTTCTTCTTTGTAAGGTACTCTTTATGCCTTAAGTGGCCTTTGAATATACCTTTTAATCTAATATAGAAATTGTTTTAGCTTGTAGTAGGTTAGCATCAAAAAAATAAAAGCAACATCGAGGAAGTTAAACATTATTAAATAACCAATAGTAACAGTAATAATAATAGTATTGGGTAATACATAGTATTATTTATTATAAATACTGATAATGTGACATTTAAATAGTGCCCCATGTCTCTCTGTTGGGAAACCAAAAAATAATATAAAATAAATAACACAAACTAATAATAATAGTATTGGGTAATACATAGTATTATTTATTATAAATACTGATAATGTGACATTTAAAATAGTGCCCCATGTCTCTCTGTTGGGAAACCAAAAAATAATATAAAATAAATAACACAAAATCAACACAATATGAATAGAAATGAGAGAGAGATTCATAATCCTGAGGATTGTGAAATTAGTGCAAGAGCCACCAGCCCTTAATTCTGTGGTTAGGAAAGCACTCACATTGAGAACACAACCCTGATAATTTTTCTTCAATGTGGCCAGGCAGTTTAAAGAAAGGTTCAAGACATGAATTTTAAGTTCAAGTTCAAATCCTTGTTCAACTTTTGACTAGTTGCATTATATTGGAAAAATCTCTTATGTTCTAGTACAGTTTTATTGACTGTTTCAACAATTACTTATAGATCACCTACTACATGCCTGTGTTTTAGATGTTTAGGATCTAAATAAATAATAAACAATTAAATATCCCTGCCCATGGAAAACATAATCAATAAGTAAATTACAGAGCATGTTACTAAGTACTACACAAATTAAAGGAAAAACTACAGCAGAAGAAGAGCGATGGGAGCTGTCAGAGGATCAAGTTGAAATTTTAAATATGGGAACCAGGGTTGGCCCATTGTATGTGTTATTCCTGCTGTAACAAATGACCACAAACATGCAGGCATAAAATGACACAAATTCATTACATTACAGTTCTGAAGGTCAGAAGTCCAAGATGGGTCTCACTGGACTAACCTCAAGGTGTCAGTAGGGCTGCATTCCTCCTGGAGGTGCTAGGGAAGGATGCATTCCTCTGCCTTTTCCAGCTTCTAGAGACCACCTGCTTTCCTGGCTCCTGGCCACATCACTCCAACCTCTGCTTCTATCATCTCATCTCCTTCTCTGACTCAGACACTCATGCCTCCCTCTTCTAAGGACCCTTGTAATTTTGCCACGTGAAGTAGCAAGTTTTAGGCATTAGGACTTGGATATCTTTTGGATATCTTTGTCCTACCACACTTTTTCTATGTGAGTGTTTTCCCAACCAAAGAACTTAGAGGCTATTCAGCCATGTACCAAGTCCTCCTCAAATATCTCTCTGTCTCTGTCTCTCTTTGTCTCTCTCTCTCTCTGTCTTCCCTGTTCCTCCCCATCTCCCCCAGCTCATATTGTATCTATCCTTATATCTACTTTTGATTTTTACTGTGGTTTTCCACTATAGGGACATGTAAACACATCCCTAATGTCAAGACTTAAAGGAAGTGAGGAAGTTAGTCATGCATTGATTTGGGGAAATAATGTTACAGGCAGAAGGAATGGCCATTGCTAAGGCTCTGAGGCTCACACGTGCCTGGAATGTTAAAAGAATAGTTGGGAAGCCAGTATGGCTGGGGAAGAAAGAGTGAGGGTGTGAGAAAGAATAGTTGGGAAGCCAGTATGGCTGGGGAAGAAAGAGTGAGGGTGTGAGTCCTAGACAAAGATGCAGAGAGGTAATAGGGTCCTGATCACATAGAGCCTAGCAGGCCACTCATCTCGAGAGATCTGGGAAGATCTGGGAAGATAGTAGTGGCCTAATCTGTTGTAGTGTGATCTATTCTGGCTGCAGCCACTAATAAATCACCTCCAGGCTTAAGAAAATATGTTACTGGGCAAATTGTAGCAAGGGTAGGTATCATGGTTTATGCTAATCTGTTGTAGTGTGATCTATTCTGGCTGCAGCCACTAATAAATCATCTCCAGGCTTAAGAAAATATGTTACTGGGCAAATTGTAGCAAGGGTAGGTATCATGGTTTATCTTATTTTAGTCAATGACCAAAAATTACTTTTCTTCTCTTTAAACTGCCCTGGCCCAGCACTGAAGAGGCAAATCTTAACCCACAGTAAATGAACTATTTCCATGGGGGTATGGAGAAAGAAAAGGCCCATGCTTCAGACCCAGCAGTCATTCTGGTGAACTGCCTCCAGCCCTTTCTTCTTTCAAGAGCAGTGAGAATTCGTCTTACTCCCTCTCAGTTTCTGGAACCTCTGTGCCATTTATAGTGCGCATACGTACATGTGCTTTGCATATACATCAAGCAGAGACGACCAAACTCTTGAACTCTTGCTGGTCCCACATGCCAAGAGTGGAGACCCTCCCCTCCCTCCGGGCAGGGGAAGTAACAAGAGCTGGAAGGAGCCCCTGCTTTACAGTCTCATTCTCCTCTGGATTTCCTGTCTCCCTTGCGTGCCAAAACCTCACTTCTGAAAAGCCAGGCTTCACCCTCCGTGAGTCAGGTCAGTTGCGGAAAGAAACCGATTTCATATCAGACTATAACAGATGAGCTTTTTGGGTGTATGTGGCCTTGAGCGGAAGCCTGGACCTCCCATTAGTATGTTCTGCCTTCAAGAGCTGAATGGAGCCGCTGAGGAGCTGACAGAAGGTGCTGGCCTGCCCTGAAGTCCACTAGGACAAACAACGCCTGCACATGCTGTGGGGGGACATGATGGGCGGACTGGGGTGCACCCAGATTGGGGTGTTTCTCAAGTTCCCCATAACCTGGATGTGTTGCTCATTATTTGATCATCTTCAGACCAGAGATGTGACAAGCTGGGGAGCCGCAGCCACTCCTATGCACACTAACAGCTGAAAAGGGTCTTTGTTTCCTGGCCTTTCACGTCATCTGGGCAGGAGCCCAGGAGCAAAGGAAGAGGGGGGAAAGCACATCAACCTTCCTGCCACTCACCAAGTGGCCCTGGCACCGAAGGAACAAGAGTCACCAGCAAGAATTCACAAGTGTGTCATCTCCTCAGTCTACGCAGACACCTCCGGGAAACACATTGGGCTAGCCAGAGCGAGAAAGTGTCTCTTAAGTTGCAAAAAACAAAACAAAACAAAACCCCGCTGTATTATTTATTATTGTTGTTGTAAGTAGTAGTAATATAATGAGGAGGAGGAAAAAGAATCCAGTCTACACAGACACCTCCGGGAAACACATTGGGCTAGCCAGAGCGAGAAAGTGTCTCTTAAGTTGCAAAAAACAAAACAAAACAAAACCCCACTGTATTATTTATTATTGTTGTTGTAAGTAGTAGTAATATAATGAGGAGGAGGAAAAAGAATAGGAAATTCCTTTTCAAATGGCCAGTGGGAAATAATGAGGAATGTTTCCTGTAAGAAGCCTAGATAGTGGAAAACTAATTATTTTAGAAAGCCTAAAAAAAAAAATAAGGCAGTCAGAATAGAAGAATAATGTAAACGTAGGTTTTGTATTAGGGAAATTTGAAGTCATTTGCTTTCTGATGTATTTGGCAAGGAGGAGGACTGTCAGGAGCCTCTGTTTTTGGTTTTTATTCTCTTCAAAGACGAGATGTTTGGGTAACCCTCTGTCTGGGATATGTGAAGCAGCTTTATGGACAGGTCTGACAGGGAGAGCACTTTTTTGTCTGCCATTGGCCCACTGCATACACCACATACAAAAATAATATCTTAAACCTGCCTGGAAGTATCAGGGAGGTGACGTCACACAGCTAATTAACATACGGCTGAGCAGCAAGGATTTATGCACAACGGTTTATACTCACTTAGGTGTACACACAGCAGAGCTATATGACAATTACACTTACACACAACTGTAGGTGGACTCATGTGGTAATTGAGATACTCCCTACTCTGACTATAATATATATGAAATTTCTGGCTTCCAAAAATCTCATTCTCACATGGAATACTGATTTGATTTTGGCTCTTTTAGATTTTAAACCTTTTAGAAGGGTAGTTTTTCCAAATGCAATTAAAAATAAAATGTAAAGGTGGCTCTTTGATTTCAACAAAGAGATAGAGTACCGGGATCAAAGTAACAAACTGTTGCCAAGGCTAAATTAAGTACTTTCATCTGTATCACAATTCATCTTTCCCAAAGCCCTTTATTCATTCTGTATATAAATGTATTTGACTTTTACAAGTATTTGGGCAATTCCTGTCTCTGTTTTATAGCTTAAATAAGTGATACCTACAAAAGGGGTATGACTTGCTGAAAATTACCTAGATATTTAGCAATGACACTACCTGCAGAACCCAAACCCTGTCATTCCTAGACAAGATTCCTTTCAAACCATACTCTGAGACTGATGTTTTGTGAAAATTTAATTCCCCAGGGCACCCACCTGGAAATTGAAGAAATCCTTTGGAGCTGGCTCACAAAGAGCAAAGAGAATTAGCAAAGCAGCTCAGGGCCACGTGATGATCATGATTACCTGAGTTGTGGTGGCAGCTTGAATCTGTTACGCACATCATCCAAGCGGTTGCCCAGGTAAGGGGTGTCCACTGTCACAAATATGGCCTTGTAGCCCCTTTGCTCAGCCCGCTGCACTATCTGCCGGGTGACCTCACGGTCCTTGTAGATGTACAGCTGCATCCACCGAAGCGCCTCGGGACCAGCCTCTGCCACTTCTTCAATTGAGGAGGTGGCCCAGGAACTCAGCATCATGCCAGTTCCCAGGGATCTGCAGGCTGAGAAAGAAAGGGGACAATCAAGGCAGGTGTAGCATTTCTCCCCCTCTCAAGCCTTCAGGTTGTAGTTCAAGGGGTAAAGACATCTACAAGGGCAGTTTGGCAATATGACGTCAAATCTTTAAAAACTTAGAAATATGCATTCGTTTCCATACCCTGTACATTGCTTCCAAAGAAAAAAGTGAGTCAAATAGCTAAAGATGTGCTACATCTAAGGGTGAAAAAGTTGGAACGATCCTAATGTCCAGCCTTTGGGGATTGTTTAAAGTATAGTTCATATATAAAATGTTCATATATAGTCCATACCCATTAAAGTGATGGGTAATTTTATGTGTCAATTTGGCTAGACCATGCGGCCCAGATATTTAGTCAAAACACATCTGGATGTTGCTATCAATGTGTTTTTCAGAGGAAATTAACACTTAAATCAGTAGATGTTGAGTAAAGCCAGATTACCCTCCATGATGTGGATGGGCCTCATTCAATCATTTGAAGGCATTAAAGAAAAGACGGACCTCCCCCAAGGAAGAGGAAGAGGAAGAAGGAATTCTGCCAGCAGACTGCCTTGGATTGCAGCTGCAATGTCAAGTTTTCCCCGGGTCTCTAGCCTGCTTGCTGCCCTTCAAATTTTGGGCTTACCAGCCTCCACAGTTCTGTGAACCAATTCCTCAAGATAAATTTCTACCTGTGGGTAGATGATATAAATATAGATACAGATATATAAGTGTATGTATCTATAATCTATATCTATATTTTTCTATATCTATTTTTATGTATCTTTATATCTATACCTTTATCTATATCTATATCTTTCTAGATAGGTAGATCGATCTATCCAATTGGTTCTGCTTCTCTGGAGAACCTCATTACAATTATGAAAGAATATTTACAGACACAGAAAAATGTTCAAGATATACAGATATATGAAGGAAAGAAGTCTACAAAACATCATGTATAACATGATTCCACATTTGTACAAATGTATTTATTGGTACATGAACCTAAATGAACTAAATGCTAATGATGGGTGGGAGAATTCTGAAAGAGTTTTCTGCCTTTTTAATGTTTTAAATTTATTTTATTTTATTTTATTTTTGTGACCGGTAAGGGGATCGCAACCCTTGGCTTGGTGTCGCCCGCACCACGCTCAGCGAGTGAGTGCACCGGCCATCCCTATATAGGATCCGAACCCATGGCGGGAGTGCTGCTGCGCTCCCAGCGCCACACTCTTCTGAGTGAGCCATGGGGTCGGCCCTTAAATTTTATTTTTGAAGTTTTTCTAAAGGTGTATTCTACCATATATGTTGTCTTTTAAATATTTATAAAATGTGTATGATACTATCCCAAGGAGACTCACATCCTTTTGAGCAAGGTAAAAGTTACTCACAACCTTTCAAGAAAGCTAGCAAGAAACAACTAAATAAATGAAACCTAAAGAGTATATTACCCAGCTGAGATCATACAGAGATAAGCAGCAAGGTGGAATGAGAACCTAGCATGTCTGACTATTCTCCCAGGGCAATGATCTTTCTAGAATTCCAGATGCCTAAAAGACTCCGTGGTACCAAGCATAGATGAAGGTACTCCATCAATATTTCAGGGCCTTGACACCTAAGAGAGTAGGTTAGCTATGTGCCTGTGCAGCTCTGGGAAGGCATGGAATCTGGGAATCAGGTGGGAAGATCTTCCACATACTACAGGTGCCCAGAGTGGCTGTACAAAGGGGTCCTGCAAAGAGGACCATTCAGATGACAGGGTGTCTTTGTGTAGTTAAGACAAAGGCATCATGTAGGCTAGAAGAAGCTCTGCAAACAGGAGCATCAAAATCCACAAAAAGATCTCCTCGAATTCATAAGAAATATCTACAGACATCCCTCACAGTTTGTCAAAAGGCCACAAAACAATGCATATAGAATATTTGCTCCACCCAAACCATCTAACTTGCAGGAGATGTCAGCACTCACAAATATTTTACCCTATGTCATCTAGTCCCTGAGTCTACCTGTTCTGTTACAAATAGCTCCCAGAGTTACTGGTGCACAATGTTTACTTTTCAATTATTAAATCACACGGAGCTAAAATTTGGAATATGAGTCCCGAAATTCTAAATTGCCACTGTTTCCAGTAGTAGGCATTCCATAAATATTTAGTGACTTAATCAATTATTCCCAGAGAGTCTCCTGGATGTTGAGGGAATATCACAGTCTGTGCTGATGTATTATCACTTGAGGCTAAGATATTACTCTCAGGAGAAAGAGAGGAGCATATCTTAGAAGACTCATGCTCCCCAGAACAAATATTAACTGATATCTGTGATCCTAATTCACTTACAATTAATTGCTCTTATGCTAGGATC